AGACTATAAAAATTGAGGGCAGGGTTTGTAGCCATCAATAAGTCAGGTCTGACCTATCCACAAGTCAGTGTTCATTCATCATTAATTCAAATATTTAATGGTTACTTTACTCTGGGCTAAAGCTCAGTACCACTCGGGGGAAAGGTGCGGGACATAAAAGAAACAGAGAACAGGTTTCGGTCCTTGAGAAATCTGCAAATGTACACATAGCAGGGGTGCCTAACACCCCCAAACTCAAGGACAGTGTGCATTACTGTAGTCACTAATTCAAAATGAATCTGTGTTAATAAAGTCTCTAGGGCCAAGGTGATGAATGAGCAGAACCAAGAGTAATCAGTCAAGGCAGGCTTCCAGGAGGGGGTGGTGCACCACAGCAGCTAACCTGCCGGCCCTAGCAATGGAAGCATGGCCGAGTGGGAAAGGGTGCTAAGGAGCACCCCTCTGCATTTGGCTTTCCTCTGCTAAGCTCACAGATGCTGCTGTACCAAGGGCTGGAGAAGAACCTCAGGCAGGCAAGGGGCAAGGGAGGGTCATACCACACTCCACACAGCACAAGCCCCACTGGAAGTATGGTTCTGGAGCAAGGAAGAGGAGGAACAAAGGTGAGAAGGCCTTGAGTTAGAATTGCCATGGGGAGGGTGAGCTTGGCCAGCTGAGGAGCCAGCGCCCCAGGGAGGACAGAGGCCCTTCCCACAGAGGCCGGTGGATGGAGGCCGCAGGGGGGCGCCCGGCATACTGCTCCCAGCCTGCTTCCAGACGGTGTTCTGCCAACGCTTGAAGTTCTACCACTAAAGATTTGGTCTTGAGTAGTTGTCCTTTCCCACTTTTAAGGAATCATTTTCCACTTTCAATGTTAAATATGCTTATAATAGAAAGTTTGGAAAATACAAAGAGGATAAAAATATTTTTTACCCACACTCTCAACCCCCAAGCCCAAGGCACTCCTTTTTTTTCTTTTTTTTTTTTTAACATTTCAGTGTCTTTCTCTGCTATCTTTTTTGTTGTTGTCTCTAAGCATAGCCTGAGTCTCCTGCGTGTGGGATTCTGTAGCCCGCTTTTCCCACTTAGCTTCAGTCCTATTTCAGCCTGATGTTCTGGAGACATCAAATCCCCAATTATGAAATGCCAGGAAGTTCCTTGACGTTAAGGAAGTTACCTTTCTGGACTCTATTGTCCTATCTGTATAGTGGGGCAGAGATGCCCAACATGCTACCTCACGAGGCCCAGGGTCAAATAATACAAACGAAAGTCAAGTCCAATTCAAATGTGCGGGGGTGGGGCAGTTGGAAGTGGTCAGACAGAACTAGTCATAACGAGGCCACAGCAAAGAGGGTAGGAGGGGGTGGCGGTGGGGAGTGGGAAGGATGGTCCGAAGGACAGGTGAGCACACCCGCCCGTGTCCTGTTGGGTCTTCCCCAGGACCAGCTCTCCTGAGCAGCCACGACTTGGGCCAGCTTCATTCAGAGCAGCTGGGCATCTCCCGCACCACTTCCTGTTGGGCTGAGTCCATTTTCAGTGTGGCCTGAGGGTGATTAGCAGGACATAGCCCACCGGGAATTCCTCATTGCAGCCGCTCAGGGCCTGGTGGTGACCTATGGCAATGGTGTGTGTGCCAGGCTCTGCCTCGGCCTGGGCTTGGCTGGGGTTTGGAGTCTTGGGGGATCTGACAAATGGATGGTTCCTGAGGGTTTGCTTCAGGCAGGGTGGCTGGGCCTGGGATGTGGGGGAGGAGGGAGAAGTCTGGAGACACTTTGGAGCTGGATTTGAGACAGCCTTTGCTAGCCTTTCAGCCATATGTTTGTAACTTCCAAAGAGTGTGTTTGTGTGCATGCGCTTGTGTGTGCGTGTGTGCGCGCGCGCGCGTGTGTACACAGGGGGAGGGGAGGACTCTATCCCGAGAGTGGCTGCCTTGGGCTGGTTAATGGAGACAGGTAGCTGCATGTGGATGTCTAAGAATGCTTCTCTTGCATACCTGTGTGGACGTGTGGGTCCAGGAGCAGCTGTGGGTCTGCCTAGGAATTTAAACATCCATGGGGGAGGTGTGGGGGAGTCTGTGTGTCACTGGATGCCTGGGCTTGTGTTGTAGAGTGTCAACGTGTGTGTGTGTGTGTGTGTGTGTGTGTGTGTGTGTGTGATGAAGCACATATCTGAGCTTGGGAGTGGGTGATTCTGTGGGCATGCACGGTGTCAAGATGATTCTTTCTACCCCTGAAGCCCCATAAAAAGGCCACAGACCAAGGTTATAAGCTGGCAACAACACATAATTCCCGAGCACCTACTATGTGCTAGGCCCTGAGCCAGGCTCTGGAGATAGAGATATAAAACTCAGGCCCTCCCTTGAGAAGCTCAGAGAGCAGAGGGGAAGGTGGGAGTCACAAACTATTTATGGCCCAAGACAGTAAGTCCTGAGGGCCACCGCTTATGTCTTCCTCAGGGGTCCCACAATACCACACTTGTGGAGATGATCCGTTTTCACCACCATCTCCCCCTCCAGACTAAACACCCCTGAGGTCAGCAAGCGTCTGTGCAATAGGAATAACAATTGGCCTAATCTCACAAGGGGCATGAGGCTTCAGTGAGGCTCTGTGAGAGGAGTTGCACACACGCACCAAGCCTGGTACATGGCAGCACCAGAAGCTGCCACCTGGCCAGTTCCAGGAGCTCTTTGACCAAGAAGGCAGAGGCAGAGCTCTGACATCTCTGCGGGCAAGCTGGCGGTCTCTTCCGCAGGCAGAGCGCAGCACCGTTCTGGCACCAGGAGGAAAGAGCCCAAGGGCGGGGGTCCCTGCCATTGGTTGGTGGAGGCTGAACATCCACCTGGATATTTTCTAAGTGCACCTCACTGGCCAACCACTGATGTCTCTGCTGACTCTTTGGTGCCCCATCCAAATTCTTTGCATCACAGCCTTAACCGTCAGATGTCAACATGTAACTTTTCTGAAATGTTGAAAATGTGTCACTTTGAGAGAATGTGCTCCCCCTCATCCCCCACCTTATCCAGACACGTGCATGCTGGTGCATGCTTGTGCGTATGGCATGTGCTTATGAGCGTGAGGACGAGATGGGCAGCTGGGGCAGCCCAAGCTGGACCTGCTTCCACATTACCTGCCAGAGCTCAGTGCCCACTGGGTGTGGCTGGGGCCCCCGTCTGACTCACACTGGCCCCGTTTGGCCTCCCCTCCTCAGCCTCATTGAGCCAGGTTCAAGGTCTTCCCAGTGGGGGGCTGGAGCCGACTCAGGCTGGCTGCAGAGCAGACTCTGCGAATCTCTTCCTAGCTCCACAGATCAGGGAGGGCAGCACGTTGGTAGCTTGAAATATTTCCAGCACAGAAATCAGCAAATGATACCAATAAGATCCCCACCCCACCCCCACCCTGAAAGCATGTAAACACCAGCACATCACTCGCACTGCTGCAGTTGTAACAGCCACCTGGCATTGAGTGGTAGCACCTGTTAGGCATTTGGCACCATTCTCATCTGCACAAAAATCCTGTAAGACATTTGCCATGATCCCCATTTCACATGTGGTGTTCATATTTACATGATTTGCCTCCAGGTCTTTGCCCATCACATGGGGCCGTGCGCCTGAATACGTAGGACCGTGAGATTTGGGAGTGCTGGCAGAGTTGTTAAAAGATCATCCACCAACTAATGACTGCTCATTTGACAGGGAAACTGAGCTCCGAGAGCTTCACTGTTGGGGGTTTGGGGGGTCCTCCTCTGCTAACGCTGCCTCATGTCTAAGGTCACAGCTGCCATCTTCCACCAGCCTCCCAGCCTGCAATCACGCCCGTGTCCATCGCAAAGTCAAGGTCACTGTCACCTGATGTTCTGCATGCATGGCTGATTTTTCTGAAACTTCACATGCAGATCTTGACATTCAGTGCAAGTTATATTTTGTTTTGCTCCGTTTGACCCAGTGTTCAAGACCCTCAAAAACATTTCAAATTTTTCTTGGGTCATTTGTTGTATGTCTAAGTCTCCTTCCTAGACCAGTGCGACCTGCTGCTTTGATCACTGCACCTTCGATGCAGGAATTGGATTCAACTTTTAAAAAGAATAAGCAAGGCAGAGTTCTGTGGCCCAACCCTGGAGATGCCATCCTGTCTGACAGAGGTTCTGGCATCTACACACTTTGGAAAGCAGGTCCTTCCGTGGCCTCTCCCCGTCCCGCCCCGCCCCCCCTCCCGCGGCCCGAACTCTGCCTGCCCTACGAATCAGAGAGTCTGGCTTTTTGTCCCTGCAACATTAGTAGCATTTTGTCTAATGCCCACTGATGCTCACGCTGTGCACCTCGCCCTTGACAGTCTCCCGTTTAGAAAGAGCTCCCTTATGCTGCTTCGCTCTAAGGGACCCACCAGGACGCCTTTGGCCGGGCAAGATCCTCCCAGCCATTACACTGGGCCTCCCGCTCCTGGAGAGTTCTGCGACAGGACTGGGCCCTGCCCTGAGAGTTCCGGTGCTGGGGCTGAGAGCCGGGCATAGGAAAGGACCCGACACCGCTTCTCTGCAGGCTCCAGGCGTCTCCCTCTATGCCCGCACCCCGGTACCTCGGGGGAGAGAGCCTGCGAGTCCTACCTCCCTGCCCCGAAGAGAGAAGCACAAACTCCCAGGTCCCCACCTAGTCCTCCCATCCCTGCTTCCCTATGCCCGGGGGCGCGCGGGCGGGGGGCGGGGGGTGCTTCAGGTTCCACGGTCGCGTCCCCAGGTGGACCCGGCGTCAGGTGAGCTCTCACCTAGGGCGGGTGGAAGGGGTAAATGGGGGCGGGTAGGGGTGGGGGCGGTCCTGAGACGGCGACCCCACCCGCGACGGGGCGGGGCGAGTCCTGCGGGGCCAATGGAACAGGGGGCTCGCCACCGGGGGTGGGGTGGCCGCCGACGCCGCTCCCTCTCCACGCTCGCGCTCCGCCCTTCCCGGGTTTAAAGCCCCGCGGGCGGCTGGTGGCGGCACTGCGAGCGCTGAGCGGCGCAAGTAGATGCGACAGGGCGCCGCCGGCATCATGCGCCCCTCGCCCGCGCTGGCTCTGGCCGCGCTCTGCCTGCTGGCGCTGCCTGCCGCCGCTGCCGCCGCCTACTTCGGGTCAGTGCCCGCCGCGCCCCGGCCCACGCCCCCGGCCCGCCTGCCTACCCCTCCTCCGGCTACCGCAAGGCCAACTTTTCCGTCCCTCTGGCCCCGGCCGGATCTCGAACTCAGACCTTAGCGCCAGCCTCACCCAGCCCCACCTTCTGGTCGGAGTTCGCGTGGCGAGTCCCGTCTTTGGCTTCCCGGGCTCAGCTCCCCATCGCACCTTCTAGCGTCCGACTCTCTGCTCCCCTTCGCGGACAATCTTTTCACCCTTCCCTGTCCGAGACTTCATCCCGCTCACTCCGCTCGATCTCAGACCCTGGCCCAAGGTCCCGGACCCTGCACGCGTCTCGGACCCTTGCCCTGTTCGCCCTGGCGCTCCGTGTCCCAGCCCTCCCAGGTGTCCCTCTTGCGCTCTGATGCCCTCTCTGAGCCTCACTCGGCGTCCTGTCTGCCCCTATCATGGGCTCTGTCTAGCCACAGTCTTGGCCTGGGCCACCCTCCCCACCCTCTGCCTTCGTCCCGCGGAGCGGAGACCCGGAGCGTCGGGTGAATGGGCGGTGGTGGGTTGTTACGGAGGCCGGGGAAGGGGATCACGCAGATCCAAGAATGGAGGAATGAGAGGACTGTCAGCTGGAGACGCCGGGGGAGAGGGTTGTGGAACGTCAGTTGGGGAAATCCGACCAAATCTTAGACCTGGCGTTGGGCGAATTCTCAGGAGAATGACGGAGAGCATAAGGGGAGAGGCGGCGTACGATATGGGAAAAGCGGGATGAGAGCTGGGCTGACACCTGGGGAGAGAGCGGGGATGGGAACTAGGAGTGTATAGAGCGCAAGTTACAGGGCAATTAATTGTACCTCATTCTCTGACCCTGAATTGCAGGGACTTGGGGTGGGAAATGGGGTCGTGGGTGTGAAGGCACTTTCCTGACCTCCATCCAAAGCCCGCTCCAGCTATGGACGATCTGTTACTTTGAATCATGCCATTTTTTTGTGATCTTCACTCCAAATCAGGGTGAGGTTTAGAGTCTGACTACAGCAAAGGCAAGAAAACACCAAGCAAGTGGCCTCCCAGAGACTGCTTTTAAGGACCTCCCAGAGAAGAGCGCGTAAGGGTCTGAGATGTCCTGTACAGGACAGGCTGGAATAAGAACTGTGGCCTAATTTCCAGGTCATGACCTCTGGTTAAAATGTGCCTTGGCTGTGGGCAATGGCTGCTCTTGAACTATATGGAAGGGGCAAGGGTTTATCAGCTCAAACCCTAGCACTGGGCTTGGCTGCTGGTGACTTGGGAAGACCACTCAGCCTCTGGGCTACAGTGACCCCTTCTACAAAGAAGGGGATGAGCTTGATATGACTGAGCCTCTAGATCCACTTCAAGAGCAGTGCACAAACGTGTTTGTTCCCCAGTGATTTCAGGTTTGAAGGCGTTGTGATTGCCTCAGCAGGCAGGGTATAACGGCACAAATTTTGGGTTCCTTTCCCAACTCTGCGACTTGCTAACTGTGTGCTCTTGGTCCAATTACTTAACCTCTCTGTGCCCTGGTTTCTCATCTGTAAAATGAGGATAATAGTGCCTATTTCATATGAAGGCTATGTGAGATAGCACCTGTAAAGCAATTAGGACAGCATCTAGTACATAGTAAATGCTCAACTAATACTGGTGGTGATGATGATGATGATGATAATGATGATGATATTTTTAAAAGATTTTTTAATTTTATTTTTTAGAGAGAGTGGAAGAAAAGGAGAAAGAGAGGGAGGGAAACATCAATGTATAAGAGATACATCTATTGGTTGCCTCTCACATGCCCAGGGACCTGGCCCACAACCCAGGCAGGTGCCCTGACCTGGAATCAAACTGGCGACCCTTTGGTTCACAGGCTGGAGCGCAATCCAGTGAGCCGCACCAGCAGGGCATGACGATGATCACTTTTAGGAGACTAGGCAGAGTATCTTGATATCCCAGGGCTGAGAAGGGCTTCTGAGCTGGAATGGAGAGGGTGAGGACACGTGGCGCCTGCATCCTCTAGGACACCAGCTCATTTCCACTGTTCTGTTTGTTTGGGTTTGGGGGGTTAGGGATGGGACAAGGGCCAGGTGGGGTAGAAGGAAGGGAGCTCCAGGAAGCCTGGACCACCCTTGTTGGTGTGGTGGGAAGGGAGAGGAGTTCGAAGCAGTGCCAGAGGCTAGAATTTGAGGACTGAGCACACGGGCAGCCTTGGGAATGAGAGGGGAGATGGTGGATTCGGCCTGGGTTAGGACTGAAAGGGGTCACACGAGTATTGGAGCCACCTGTTACAGGCCTTGAGCCTGGCTGGACAGAGCTGGCAAAGCACACTCAAGCCACCACCTCCGCAGTCTGGGAAGCTGGACAAACACTAAGAGAATAAGCGGAAACTGGAACCTCGTGCTGTTCTGTGTTTGGTCTCAGAGAGCCTGCGGTCTCACTGGGGAAGCCCTGTTGCTTCCCAGTCAGGCCAGGGTTCCCGGCTTCCCTTCAGATGTTGCTCTCTGGAAGAAATGTTTGTCAGTCATCCACACTAGTGAGAATGTGAGGCAATGTGCTTCTCCCTTTTCCAGGTCATTTGCTTTGGAAGTCTCATTTCTGATTATAAGATGAAGTGTTTTGGTAAAAGAAAATTCAAACAGAAGGCGAGCAAGCGAGGCCAATCTTATTGGGGTCTTCAAAAATCATAGAATCATAGACTTAAGAGTTGGAAGTGACCCCCAAGGGACGTCTGCTCCCACTCCCTGCTTTGAACAAGTCACGTATTATTACCCCTATTTTTGAATGAAACAACCATCATTTCCAAACCACAGTGAGCTGGCAGCTGCTTCTACTGCTTTGCATGAGCCTAGAGCCTAATTCTGTTGATGGTGATAATGGCCTGATAACTAGTATTGTAATTTATGAATAACTTCCTCGCACAAGTCTTCTTGCAGCTGATCTCAAAGCCGTTCCTGAGGAATATTGCATGGGTGTAAAATAGTGCCCAAAAGGAGACCAAGGGTCAGAAAGTTTCAACAACTCACCCAATGTCACACAGCGAATTAGTGGGAGAGAAAGGGTAGAAACCAGTCTGGGCTCTCTGCCCTACAGCCTCCAAAGCTAATACTGTGTGGTCACCCAGGGAAGCAGCAGCTGGGAAGGAGGGCGACCCCCTTTCCTCTTAGTTGACCCTGTCAGATCCTCTTGGCTGTGGTGGGATGGGTGAGGCCACAACATTCTCCTCTGTCCTCAGCAGTGAGACAGGGTGCATTGAGCCCTGTCAGGATGTCAGGTGGGCTCCCAGAGGACAGCATGTTGACCGTGGGATGGGAGGTAGACCACAAAGTCAGGGGCTCAGGTTTGCCCTGGCTCTGGACCACTCTGCGTCATCTATGGCCAAGTCACTTGCCTCCAGGGTCTGTAGCATTTGGAGGTTGTAAGGTTCCCTAAGAGGCTGGTCCTGGCCTGGAAGTCTGGGATTACCCACAGGCTTATGTTTTGGCTCAGTTGGCTTGGGGATTCTGCAAAGATTAACTTATGTGATGTTTTATAAATGAACAGGCATTTATGCGATGAGCTGGACACAGGACAGGTCTTGCCATCCAATATAGTCTTTAAGTCATACCAATGGCTTTGTAACTGGAAATAGCTCCTGTGGAAACAATTTTAAAATCACAGTTAACTTCTGTGTTTTGTTTCTTTTCAAACGCGTCATCTCTGTGCTCTTGTTGGGTTTCTTTCCTCTCTGGAGATGGTACAGAGAAGTTTATGAAAGCACAGGCCTTTGAATCAGCTAGACCTGAGCTTGAATCCTGATCATGCCTCTTGCTAACTGTGTGCCTTTGAGCGAATGTCTCGGCCTTGCTGAGTCTGGGAGGTAATATCACCCATCATGAAGGCTGGCGTGAGGCTTAATGGAGACAATGAAGGAAAAGGCCTGACAGTTGCCAAGCACATACTAAGTGCTCAGTACAGTGCTTAGGACTCATGGTTGTTGTTGGGGTTCTAGCCATCGGCGTGGGTTGTGGAGATGTTGTCATGGTGAAGAAACAAAACACAACTTTACCACTTTTCCCAAATCAACATTACATTCAATAAAATGCATGTATTCTAAGAGCATAGTTTGGGTTTTAGCAAATGTCTGCCCCCATGTAACCGCCACCACAATTACTTTATGGAACGTTACCTTCCTCCCAGAGGGCCCCTGGGCTCCTTTGCAGCCGACCCTCCCCCACTGGCCTCAAGCCACCACTTCTCTACTTTCTGTCATTATACATTAGTTTTGTCCATTGTAGAAGTTCATATAAATGGAGTCATATGGTATATAGCCTTTGCTGTATGAATTCTTTCGCTCAAAATGGTGTTTTGAGATTCATCCATGTTGTTGTGTATATCAGTAGCACATTCCTTTTTTGGCTGAGTAGTGTTTCATTGTGTGGATGTGTTCAATTTGTTTATTGATTCACCAGTTGATGGACATTTGGATTTTTTCCAATTTAGGGCTATTCCAAATAAAGTTGTTATGTAAATGTCTTTTTGTGGACATATGTTTTTATTTCTCTTGGATAAATATCTAGGACTAGATGGTTAGATCGTATGGTACATGTATGTTCAACTTTATAAGAAACAGTCAAATAGTATTCCAGAGTGGTTGTACCATTTCACGCAGTAATGTGTGAGAATTTCAAGTATTCCATATTCTTTTGGCCACTTTAGTGGGTATGTATTGATATCTCACTGTGGTTTTAATTTGCCTTTTTCCATTAATGGATGGTATGTTGAATTTTTTTATGTGACTATTGGTCATGTGAACATCTTTTTAATTGTGTTCTGTATTTGTTTTCTTATTACTGAGCTGTAAGAGTTCTCTAATATTTTGGATACAAATACTTTGTCAGAAAGTATTGGCAATATTTTATCCCTGTCTGTGGCTTGCCTTTTCATCCTCTTATTGGTATTTTATGAATAAGTTTTTAATTTTGATGACGTACACTTTTTCAACATGTTCTTGTACAGGTTTTGT